CTCAGGTTCACTGCAGCATTATGCACAATAGCAAAAAGATGGAAACAAGCTAAGTGCCCACCAACAGATGAATGGATAAACAAACTATGGTACATACGCACAATGGAATACTACACAACAATAAAGAGCAATGATGAATCTGTGAAACGTCTCCCAACATGGATGAATCTCGAGGGCATTATGCTGAGTGAAATAAATCCATCACAAAAGGACAAACATTGTATGAGACCACTGTTATAAAAACTCATGAAAAGGTTTACACACAGAAAGAAACAATCTTTGATGGTTACCAGGAAGGGGAGGGGTGGAGAGGGAAAAACACTAAGTTGACAATAGTTAAGTGGTAACTTGGGTGAAAGTTAAGACAGTACACAATACTGGGGAAGTCAGTACAACTTGACCAAGGCAAGGTCATGGAAGCTTCATAGACACATCCAATCTCCCTGAGGGACCGAATTACTGGGCTGGGGGATGTGGGGACCATGGTCTTGGGGAACATCTAGCTCAACTGGCATAACATAGTTTATAAAGAAACTGTTTTACATCCTACTTTGGTGAGTAGCGTCTGAGCAGCCATCTAAGGTACTCCACTAATCCCATTCCATCTGGGGCAAGGGAGAATAAACAAAACCAAAGACACAAGGGAAAGATTAGTCTAAAGGACTAATGGACCACAACTACTACAGCCTCCACCAGACTTGAGTCCAGCGCAACTAGATGGTGCCTGGCTACCCACGAACGGCTCTGACAGGGATCACAATAGAGGGTCTTGGGCAGAGCTGGAGAAAAATGTAGAACAAAATTCTGAATCACAAAAAAAGACCAGACTTACTGGTCTGACAGAGACTGGAGAAATCCTGAGATTAGGGCCCCCAGACACCCTTTGAACTCAGTACTGACGTCACTCCTGAGGTTCACCCTTCAGCCAAAGATTCGACAGGCCCATAAAACAAACATCACGCTTGGTCAAGTAGAGGGTCATAAAAAAGAGGAAGACCCTCAACGAAATGGATTGACACAGTGGCTGCAACAACGGGCTGAAGCATATCAAAGATTTTGAGGATGGCGCAGGACCAGGCAGCGTTTCTGGTGTACGTGGGGTCACTATGAGTCGGAACCGACTTAATGGCACCTAATAACAACAACATATATATATATATATATGTTTGTATATATTTGTATGTAATTAAAACATAAATATGAAAATAAAGAAAAAACTGGACCTTCTGGAATCGAGTATATATAAAAGAGAAAAATAGTGATGTTCAAAATGAACAGTATAAAAAAAGAAACTTTTTTAGATTATGTTATGCATCGAATTATGTCCCCCCAGAATACGTACTGTAAATCCTAACCCCTATGCCTGTGGTTATAATCCCATTTGGGAATGGGTTGCCTTTGTTATGTTAATGAGGCAGGATTAGTGTAAATTTTGTCTTGAGTTACTCTCTCTTGAGATATAAAAGAGATTAAACAAGGGAGCAGAAGACACACGGGGTAAAATAGATGCCAAGACGCACGAAGATCTGCAAGGAACCAGGAAGCAGAAGCTGAAGACACAAGCACCTTCCTCCAGAGTCGTCACAGAGAGAAAGCCTTCCCCTGGAGCTGGTGCCCTGAATTCAGACTTCTAGCCTCTTAGACTGTGAGGGAAGAAATTTCTGTTTGTTAAAGTCACCCACTTGTGGTATTTCTGTTATAGCAGCACTGGATAACTGGACAGATCCTTTAATAAAAACAAACAAACCAACCCAGTCCTCTGCTGTTGATTCTGACTCCTAGCAACCCTGTAGGACAGAGTAGAACTGCCCCACAGTGGTTCCAAGGCTGTAAATCTTTACAGAAGCACACTGCCGCCATCTTTCTCCTGCCAAGCAGCCGGTGGGGTAGCAGCTGAGCATTTAACCACTGCACCACCAGAGCTCCTTAATAAAAAATATCAGTGTATTTTCTGTTCTCTGGGGAAAAAGTAAGCCAAGGTAATTGTAACCTCAAATTAAAATGTCTTATAGGATGTTTATTATCAACTAACTTACTCGCTCCCTCCCTCCTTTCTTCCGTCCCTCCCTGCAACCCTCCACTCCTCTCAGTCTTGTCCTTCCCCTCCTCATATTCCTCCTCCTTCTTCTCTTTCTCATCTATGTGAAATTACGCAAGTCCCCTTAACTTCAGAACTTCCTAACACACGTAGCCTAGACACAGTCATTGAAGCGATTTTTTCTGTTACCTTTTTTTAAATTAAATTCTGCAGAACTGTAAATGAAGTCTATCCAGTTTGATGATTAAGGTAGCCCTGAATAGCCACACGAACCATTTTTGTCCCATCTAGTCATGGCCATGATTTGAGAACAATATTTAGCACATCTCAACAGCCACTAGAAGCAAGTTGGCTCCAAACTGACGTCTAGAGCCATTTTCTTCCTTACTCACTCTCTTGCAGACCTGATGTCCCTGAGGAGTTGAGGGCAGGGTAAAGGACTCTTGACTTCTTAGGAGGTGTGGTTTATTGCTCTGTTACTGTTGCTAATTGGTCCATGTTGACCAAGAGTTCTAGGCTGGAGGGATTGGACATTGTATTCCATATACAGCTAGACATGGTGTTGACTGGGACGTTGTATTCCATATACAACTAGACTTGGTGTTGACTAGGACACTGTATTCCATATACAACTAGACATGGTGTTGCCTAGGACACTGTATTCCATATACAACTAGAGATGGTATTGACTGGGACACTGTATTCCACATACAACTAGACTTGGTGTTGACTTGGCCAAAGTAGGGTGAAGGGGTGCTCATCATAGAAATCACATGGCTGCCTGTAGGACTCAATCACAGTGATGGCTGGAGAAGTCATCTACCCTGGAATACAGTAGGTCCTCATTCAATGCATGGGCAGCCAGAAATAAGGTGGCCAGGAAGGGGAACCTTTCCTTCCCACATTTCCCTGACGTGTCCAAGACTCCACACAGCCTTCTCTCTGAAAAGCTGTCCTTATTCACCTGGCTGTGGGCTGTGCAAGGAGGGCTGTGATCAAGTCTGTCTTGTTCATTGGGAAGGCCTCAGCCCCAAGCACTGGGCACGGCCCCATAGGTGCTCAGTGAGGGATGGCTACATGAAGGAACAGAGCACCAGATTGAGGAGTGAATGGTTTACCACTAAGGAACTTCCTGTATTAGCTCTTCCTTGAATCATCTGAATTTCAAAACAAAATTATTGGGGGTGAAATTAGTGAAAAGGAACAAATTCCTTCAAAATGGTGCAATTTCAGAGAGATACCTGGGGCTCACCATGAGATACATGTTGCTATTTTAAGCTGTAAAAAAATTGTTTTTGGAAACCTAACAGTTGGTTATTAGTTAGATTTTTAGAAGCATACACTGTTGCCATGGGCTCCATACCCATTGTCCAGTCTGTTGCATCCCTTTCTAAGATAAAACAGTCTTCCTACAGTCCCACTGTGACCACATTGCTTACTGCTCCATGGCTCCTCAGGAAGTCCAGAACCCTTGGTCTGGAAGCCAAGACCCTTCCAATCTGCCTCCACTTCCTCCAGCCTTAACTCTTTCTAGTTGCCAAAGTTCCAGGACCCTCCTTTACTAGAGGACAAATGAAATCACTGTCCCCTCACCGTGCTCTGTACTTTCCTGCACCCCTGTCATCCTTCAAGTTTTCCTTTTCTTTCAGTGGTGACCCTAGAATATCTACCCAGGAAGGGCTTGGGGAGGGCCATGTGTAGGGGGTAGGAATATGAGCGGAGCCTCGATGCTGTGTTTACACAGCCATTTTGTAGAACAGAAGTCCTTGGATGGTGCAAACAGTTAACGCACCTGGCTGCTACCGGAAAGGTTGGAGATTTGAGTCCACCTAGAGGTGCCTTGGAAGAAAACCTGGTGATCTGCTTCTGAAAGATCAGGCATTGGAAATCCTATGGAACACAGTTCTACTCTGACACACATGGGGCCGCCGTAATTTGGAGTTGGCTCCATAACAACTGGCTTCAGGCTGTAGAACAGGTCAGTTTGTGTCAAAGGGTGGGATGTGGGGGGCAGCTGCAGCTGCTGGGGGGATGCTGTCCATTCGCTCCCTTGGCGAACCCACTGTGTTGAACCCGACCACCCACAAGGCTCAGCCCGGCTACCTCCTTCCATATACAGCTAAACCTGTCCACTCTCTCCACTCCCACCGTGGGTTTCGCTCGTGGTCTGAACTCCCCTTCCAAATGGTGACATCCAGAAGGGCGTGCACCCGGTCCCCAAGGCTCCCCCAGCAGCGTCTTACACGTGGCTCTAGTGGAAGAGAAAAGAGGGACCCGCCACTTATCCTTGGAGGATGACCACAGTGCTCTTGACCTTCAGAGCATCTCTCTTATGTGATGCTGAGGCTGAGCTGACTCACCCTCTACCAACCTGTGCGCATTCATGGTGCTCGGCTCCCTGGTCAGCTGCCTGGTGCTGGCTCAGCTGGCGCTGGAGAGTGTGTCAGACAGAGACTCAGATGGGGTCAGAATGCTTGGTTTCCACCCCTCCAATGTCTTCTCAGGAGCTCTGGACTGTAATGGGCCCAGGGAAGGTACTCTTGTTATGGAAGCAAGTGTCTCTCTGGTGATGGGGCTCCAGCAGGGGTAGGGGGCCGTTCATAGGAGGCAAGTGTGCTGCCAACTCATGGGGGCAGGGGACAAAACTGGGGAAAACACGTATGGCCTTTAGTTCAACCCAAAATGTACTTTACCATACAAAGTACTGTACTATGATGTTCATGATTCCACTTGGTCCCCACACAAGCAACCCTGAACAGCAGAAAGGGCTTTTATTACAAATCCCATTTGGGGGTGAACCAGAAGCTTGGCGGGTCTGTGCTGTTGCCCAGGCACATGAAGAGTGAGGGGCAGGCAGAGGGGTCCACTCAGGTCTGCCCCCTCCTCTAGGGTGCTCCATGGTAACATAGCCTCCTTGGAAGACGGAGGTGACACAGGAGCCCCAGTCACACGGCTCTGGTTTTCAGCGCAAAACCCCCTCTGGCTCCAAGAGCAGATAGTTTTGCAGGGACTTGGGCAGGGGTAGCAGGGGTATGAGGTGAAAACACTTTTTGCCAAACAGCTTCCGGATGGCACAACGGCAGAGGTGCTGCAGACAGCGTGGGGCGCCAGCCAGGGCGAAGAGGGACTGGTAGAAAGGCTGGTGTATCTGGAAAAGGAAGCAGGGGAGTGTGAGTCGGTGCCCATGGGACAGACAGACGTCCCTGCCCCAGTCACCGGGTCCCTGATTGCAGAGTAGACCAGACACCACACCAAACCAAAACAGGTGCCATCAAGTTTATTCTGACTCGTGGCAACTCCACGTGTGTTAGAGTAGAATTGTGCTCCATAGGGGTTTTCAAGGCTGTGACCCTTTGGAAGCAGATCGCCAGGCATTTCCTCTGAGTCACCTCCGGGTGGGTTAGAATCTCCCATCTTTTGGTTAGTAGTTGAATGTTTAACCATCTGTGCCAGGCAGGGACTCCTGGGACCAGATAAGCAAACTGAAACGAGAAGCACCGTTTGGCATGAAGCATCCTGTATACTTTCCTCAAGTGCAGGAAGAGGGAACTCCTCTGTGGGAGCCTGCAGCTCCAGGGTGGACCCCATTAATCTAAACCTGTCACGGGAAGCCCTTCCCTTCTGCCAGTGAGTGGCTCAGGAGCCCCGGGCCAAGCCAACCAATGCAGGTGTTGCTTTGGTGTTCAGTAAAGTGCACACAATGAGGCAGGGGCGGTTCAGCGGTAGAATTCTCGCCTTCCATGCAGGAGACCCAGGTTCGATTCCCGGCCAAGGCACCTCATGCGCAGCCACCACCCATCTGTCAGTGGAGGATTGCGTGCTGCTATGATGCTGAACAGGTTTCAGCGGAGCTTCCAGACTAAGAAGGACTGAGAAGAAAGGCCTGGCAATCTACTTCTGAGAATCAGCCAGTGAAAACGCTATGGGTCATGATGGTGTGATCCGAAACCGATCATGCGGCTGGCACAGGACCGGGCAGCATTTTGTTCTGTCGTCCAGGAGTTGTAGGTGACTGGATAGCAGCTAGCAACAACAACAATGACGTGTACAGGGCTCAAGTCAACGCAACAGGAGGAGGAAATTTTCTAGAGGCTTCTGGAAAAAATGGCCTCCCTCTTTTGAAGCCGACGGTCACCGGTGGGCTTTGATGTGTACAGCTGTGACACCCGCAGCTACCCCAGTCACCTCTTAAGCAGTAGGATGAAGCTGACCCACAGAGACTAGACCAGCGTTTCCCCAAATGGAACCAGAGCCTCTGGATCAGGTGGATCCAGTGTCCATCCCTCTCTGGACATTGGTTACCCAGCCCCTTATATTCCTCAGCCAGCCTGGGTTGGTCTTCTGCTCCTTGCAGCCAGCAGCCCCCCGATTAGAACAATAGGCTCTTGGCTGTGTGATTTTTGAGCCTCCAGAAGCAAAACAGAAATATGCAAACGCAATCCTCCTTTCCCCTTCTCTTTCCTTCTCCGGCTGTTTCAAACGTACTTGGATATTAGTGTGCAACTCCACACGTGGGTAAGCAAAAACAGGCCAACGTTTTGTACTAAAGGGGGAAAGAAGGGCAGTTTACTCACCTCAAGTACTTCCTCAGGGATCACCTCCCTCCAGGACTCGGACACACGGAGCTGAGGGTAGGAGTTGAAGAGGACCTCGATGACAGCGGGGGCAGACGCACAGGTCTTCAACACCTGGCCGGGAGAGGCAACAGTGCAGCTGAGGTGACTGGGTTTGGGGTCCAAGTGGGGAAGGTGCAGGGAGGTGTGGGGGTATGTTTGGTCTGTTAAAAAGAAAATTCTGACAAGGTAAGTTTTATAGAGTTTATTTGGTTTCAGAAAGATTCATGAACTGGGGTAATAGCTCCTAGCAAAACCAGGAAGTCTCCCCCTGAACCAGGCAAGCTGAGAGTTTTTATAGAAAGCAAAAAAGCAGAGAGAGAAAAGAAGGAAGGAGGAGAGAGAGAAACCTAACCCAACCCAACCCAACCCAAAACATTTTCATATATTTGACATACTACTGGGTCAGGTAAGAGCAGAATGTACAGAATGATCAAACATTTAAACTTATCTTCAAAAGGGTCTGTTTAATGTCTGAACTAATACTTCTGAGCAAGCAAGCAAATGTGCAAGCAGAAATGTCATGCACAGCAATGAGGTCGAAGGAGATAAGAATTTCAAACAAGGGGGTCGAGTTGGAATCATCCAAGCCTCTTTAACTCTTTAAAAGGGCCTCTTTAGCATTGTGCTAAATGCTATGTGGGATCAAATTGACAACAGCAACTCGAAAGGTTAGATGAGAAGCTTAGATGGCAGGGAGTTTATGTTAATGGTGGTGGAATGATTCGGAAAAGGAGGGTGAGAATGGTTGCACAACTTGAAGAATGTAATCAATGTCACTGAATTGTACATGTAGAGATTGCTGAAATGGTGTCTCTTTTGCTGTATAAAAAAAGTCCCTTTAACTCTTAAACTCCAGCAAGTCTGGAGAATAAAATAAAATTCAACAGGTCCCACCTCTGTCGCAAGACCTGGGCTGAGTTACAAACTTACTGTGCCTTTGTCCCCAGGGAACAATGAATAACAGAACGGTTTATTGCGGGGATCAAACGAGTGAACACATACATCAGCACAAGGCAGCTCGACAGCAGAGTCGTTCTGATCGCAATGGCTGTGACGAACAGTCGGACACGCTGCTTGCTTCTTCCCCTTCCCAGGAGGGATGCTGACGGCATGGCAGGCCCCACCCCGCCCCCGCCCCAGAGGCAGGCAATGAGCTTCTGCTGGGAAGGAGTTTGGCCCAAGGACGGTGTTCCCAATGTCTTCCTCAATTTTCTAGTATGTCAGAAATTGAGAATTGGAGGAGAACTGTTTTACTGTTACGTTTCCTCGTGACTTGGCCTTCATGTTCTATTTTCACAGTCCCCACTGACAAAGGAGTTCCATTTTCTTATTTGCAAATCTACAATTCAAGGCAATCAGCTTCATCTTAAAGATGGGAAGATGATTTGCTTTTTTCAAATAAACTTTTTTTTTATTATGCAGTATTTTTGGTGAAAATGTACACAGCAGATCTTACACTCATTCAACAATCTGATCAGTTCAACGACACTGGTTACATTCTTCATGCTGTGTCATTTTTCTGTCTCTCTCCATATCATTTCACCCCCACTGACTTAGACTCACTGCCCCATAAACTATTCATTCATACTTTAGAGTTACTGTGTCAATTTGATCTCATATAGATAATTCTTCAAACGAGTGCAACACTCAAGGGGAATGTTCTTTACTAATTCAGCTCATTGTTTAGTTTGAAGATGACTATAGGGGATAGTTTCAGTTCAAGGCTCAAAAATTTTCTTAGGGAAACAGATTCAGGGGTCCTCCAGCCTCAATGGGTCCAGTAAGTCCGACATCTATAATAAATTTGAAATTCTGTTCCACTTTTTTCCCCTTTTGATCAGGAATCATCTATTAAGTCATTGATCAAAATGTTTAATAACGGTAGCCAGGCACCATCCAATTCTGGTCTCTTGGCAAGGGAGGCAGTAGTTCATGGAGGTATTATGGAGCATTTTAACATACATACTTTTAACAAAAGTATACTGAATAGTATGATAAGACCCATGGGCCCACCATCAATTGTGGCTAATCTTGCCCCATCCACACCCCCATCCACTCTCTCCAATATTATTTAAAGCAAATTCCATGTATTCTATCATTTCATTTATATCAGTGTATCTCTTAAAGGACCCTTAAAAAAAAAACCCATAAACACAACATCATTATAACACCTGAAAAATTAACAATAGTTCCTTAATGTCATCTGATATCTAATCAGTATTTAAATTAACAAATTTCTCTTAAATGCCATTATATTAAAAAAAACTCCTTGAATAATAATCCGAACAAGGCCGACACAGTGAGATTAAGTCATCTGATGTATTTTTAGGCCTCTCTTTCTTGCATCATGAGAGTTACCTGTTGAAGAAACTGAGTTTTGCGTCCTATAGAGTTTCTCTCGGAATTTTGATGATTGCATCCCTGCGGGGTTGTCTAACATTCCGTTGTTCTGTCTTGCGTTTTTTATTTTTGTAAATTAGTACTTGGATTTAGAGGCTTGATTTGATCCAAACTCAGTTTTTTGTTGGGGGGAGGGCAGGGCTAGGTCATAGCTCTCTGTTTTTGAGGTCTAAGATTTAACAAGTGTTTTAAAATTGTTTTTCCTATTTCTTGGTTGAGAAAACTGAAGTTGGACAATTTTTCTAAGACAGGTACTATATATCTATATATATATGA